GGGGGTTCCTGTAGGAGGGGCTGGATGGCCAGAAAGGGGGGCACTCACGGGGCCCAGTATAGAGGTTCTGCCAGCTGCCATGGAAACATTTCAGTATTTCAACAACTGGGGTGGCCATACCAGTTCATATTGAGTGATTGATTATGCAATTGAATGAATGAGGCCCTAATAGTGATATTGTCTGCCAGGCACTGTGCTAGTCACTTTACAGGCCTTATTTATCATTCTTATAAAGTTCTGAAAGCACATGTCATTTTCTCCATTTATAGATGAGGAAACTAGGACTCTGAAAGGTTAAGTAATTTTTCCAAAGTCATATAGCTGTAGGCAGAGAGGTGGGATTCAACTCTGAATCTATTTAACTCTAAAGCTTGAGGAGGGGGAGCTATGAAGCTCAAACCTTGTTTCATCTCTTACTTGCTGTGTGACTTTTGGAAAATTGTTTCATATCTAGGTGAAATGAGAAAACCATGTCCTAATTTTGTGACATGGGCAAGTTATTTAACATTTCTGTGTCTTAGTAACCTATTGTGTAAAATGGGAATAAAAAAAAAAACACAAAAACCTACAGTGCCTAGTACAGTCTCTAGCAGCACACAAGCACTTTGTAAGTCTAGCTGTTGTTATTGTTATACCAGTGCCTAGCTCAGTACTGAGCACATAGTAGGTACACTGTTAGTACTTGTTGAATTTTGGATGCTTTTTTCTACTATACCACATAATAGGTGCTCAATAAATGTCTGCTCCCTTGAGATTAAGCATGATCATTGTTATTATTAGGATTTCCTCTAATCCAGAGACAACAAAATGGAAACGAGAACTTATCTCTGGAGGGCCTGAGCTCTTATGATCAGCAAGCTTCACCTCCACCTACCAAAAGAAGTGGGAAGATATAGAACATATTCTTCTAAGCTTTAGGAAGAAAGCAATTGAATTGGAATTTGCTGGCATCAATCTTTGAGATTTTTCTCAGTTAAAAAAAAAATTGGTAACACTGTGAGAAACATTAAGGGTAGCAGAAAGACAGGAGAAGCAACTGCTCTGGGGGAAGTAGCCAAGCACATCCATCGGGTCCGTTGCCGTCTGTCCACCCCCCATCTTCTCCGTTTGGTTTGAGCAGATTAGCACGCTGAGTGTTGTCCACAGCTGTTCCCACTCAGGCACTGTCTGGGCTCTGGCCTGGGAATTCCTCTCAGTATAGGGTCTGTCTGCCCACTGCTGTTGACTTTATTTCTTGTTTGCTTGACTAATTGAAGGCTAAGTATTATTATCAGGTGATTACAGAGCTTATATTGTCTTAAATTGAGTCTAGTCTGTATAAGAACAATGCAAGCTCGCTATGGATTATGCACACAATAGCTCTGTGAGAAGTAACAGTGAGTGAGAGGTGAGTGAGTGAAATAAAAATAAGTGAAATGGGGACGGAGAGAGACTTGACTTTGGGTGGTGAGTGCACAATGCAGTATGCAGATGATGTTTTATTGAGTTGTACACTTGAAACTTGTATGGTTTTATTAATCAATGTCACCCCAATAAATTCAATTAAAAAATCCTAAAAATTGGATATTTTAAAAAACAAGTTATCTGCACTGTGCCTACCTTTCAGTGTGAGGACCTTTGGAATTTTGGGGGTCAAAGTTGTTTATGTGAGTAAATAATTATTTATATAACATCCTGAATTCTTTAGGGAAAAAGCTCTATAAAAATACACTATTAGCTCTTTCTGTAAGCAATACTCCTCTTGTTCTTCTGAGAACAGAAAAATCCATCTTCTAATTCAACTTTTTCTCTCTCACAATTCTGGCATATTTTATACCCTTTTTTTTCTTGGCTGCTTGACTACTATAAACTTCCTTATCTCCAGATAGCATTTGACTAGGGATGGGCACCAAAACCTGTTTTCTTTTCTCCTCCCCATTTCCTTTCCTAAACTATTACAGCCCCACCTTCTTTCTTGCCCTAAATTTCCTATCTTGGTTCAGAGAACCTTCGTATGTTTTTATGATCAGCTTTGTCATACCTTGCCTTCTTTAATACTCCAAGGAAAGCAAATTCCTCAATATGTAAAGCACTCAAAACTCATGAAAATGAACCTAGTACCCTCTCAAGTCACCGAAGGAGGAAACACCACCATATAAAACCTGCCCTTTCCAACACAGCAGCCACCAGGCCAATGTGGCCCACACAACCGAGGAAACAAATTTTAAATTCCATTTAATTCAAACCTAAAAAATGAAGCATAATAAATAAAATCCTTGTCCTGAAACCCAACTTTATTGTGTCATATTTCTGAAGTTTGAAAATTTAGTTTCTGAAAGGATGCTGTAATTGTAAAACGCATAGCAGATTTCAGACTTAGCACCGAAAAGAGAACGCAAAATATCTCAATATTTTTAGAATGGTTACATGTTGAAATGATAAAATTCTAGATTGCTCAGGTTAAATAAAAGATATTATTAAAATTAATATAACCCGTTTCTTTTTACATATGTGGCTCAAATTATATTTCTACTGGACAACATTGCCCTACGGGTAATAAAGGGATAGGGAGGTGTGGACACATAAATATGCACCAGCATTTTGTGCGCAGTTAACAAACGTCCTTGATTGGAGACGAGGGAAAGGAGAGGAAAGATAAAGTAAAAAGGAAATGAAACATAAAAAAGTTGTGGAGTTGAGGAGAAAATCAAAGAAAAATGTAAAAAACAGAGCTAACTAGCCAGCAGAGAGTTCTTTCCAGAACCGAGAAGTCGCCACAGAAGTAGAGAAACACAATTCTACGTATCTGAATATGATGGCAGAGATTTTCACAATACTATTTTTAAATTCAAAATACACACATGCAGACGTAAATTTCAGAGAGAGTACTCACTCGGGTAGCATCATTCTCGTGT